GAGGCCTGGGATCAAAGCGTGTGGAGGTCGTGACTGCGCCGGCTCAGCTTCTCCGGGTCGTCCGACGCCATGAGCGAGAAGTCGCGGAAGATGTCCAGATACGTCTCGTCTCCTGAGGGGGGAGGGAGGCAGGGCTGGGCGGGCGCCCGGCGGGCCGGGCCGGAGCGCGCTGGCTCGCCCGTTCTCCGCGGGGTTCCGAGGACGTGCGCCCTCACATGCGCCCAGTGCATGTTTGTGGAATAAGTAATGGAATTAATCCATGCAGCCGGGCGCCACCGGGCAGGTCCGCAGGGGCCAGAAGCCCAGAAGTACAGTGTGGGGCGGGGCGGGAGGAACTTTACCTGCCTGGCCCTGGGCCGCTTCGACCTCTCTCATCTTTGCCAAGCGTAGCCTGAAGGGGAAGGAATTAAGGCCCGAATGACTTTCTCTTGACTGCCCCCACCCCAACCCCCCATCCTCTGAGCTGGGGTGGTTAAATTCACGTGCTCCCCCGGGGTCCAGTGCTTAAAGACGCTCAAGAGCCACGAAGCCCCTCACTCGGGACGAACTCACCATCCGTGGACCCTACCCGCCCCCCTTCCTACTCCACGCCCCAGTCTGCACTCGGAACAGCCCTTCTCCGGCCAGGTCCCAGAGCAGGCCCGCTGCTCCCCAAGCTCCGCCCACACGCGGGTCCCGGCGTTGGCTCCGCCCCAGGTGGGTAGGGCAAGCGCTAGCCCCGCCCCCGGGCATCCTCACAGGGTGACGATGTCAGCGTTGGTCGTTTCCATGGCGATCGTCAGAGGGTCTTTGCCTTCAGAGTCCCGAGCTCCCAGATCGGCCCCCCGTTTCAGGAACAGGCAGGCCAGCCTGAAAAGGATAGCCGGGTTCAGGCGGCCACTCACCCCATCCGCGCCCTTCTTTCCCGCAGCCATCCTCCCTGCCCGCCCCTACCCTACCCCGTGTGGCCCAGAATGGTTGCATGGTGGAGCGGCCCCCGGCCGTGGTTGTCCGCTTGGTTCACGTTCGCCCCGTTCTGGAGGAGAAACTCACAGGCCAGAAGAGAATTCTGCACGGAGGGGTTGAGAACGGGAGAGAAAGTGGCATCTTTAGAAGCAGACCAGAGATGTTTTAGGATGGGGTCAGTCCAGGGGCTGGGATATGGCTGTGTCACGCTCCGCTCTAGCTCTTCAGCTGTATTCTCACGTTAGGCCCACAGTACAACCTCATGAGGTGTGTTATCCCTATTTTACAGATGAGCAAACTGAGGCACACAGAGAGGTTCACAACCGTGAGTGGTGAGAGCTTGGATTCAAACCCAGGCCGTCTGCTTCCAAATCGTACACACCCTTAGCAACAGTCTCTCTCGGGTATCATTCCTAACAGGGTGGGAGGAGGGGTAAGAGCTGGGCCCCAAGTCAGAGTAGGGATCAGAGGGAAGGAGCCTAAGGGTGGGGTGGGGAAGTCAGCAAGACTCACAGCAGCTGTGGCCTGGATCAGCGGAGTGGCATTCTCCTGACCGCTGTTGACCCAGTTGACATCGGCTCCGTGGGCGAGGGCATCAGCCATGGTGGGGAGGGATGGAGGGTGCCCAGCAGCTCGAAACAGCAGGGCCCCAGGGTGGAGGCTGCCCAGGTCATCGGAGGGGGGTTCTGGTGGAGGGAATCGGCTGTGAGTCTGGTACGAAATCCTCAGCACAGTCCCCAGATGCTCTAATGGGCTAGGTCATTCCTCAGTTGCGGGGAGGCCTTCGGGACTCCGGGGACTGCAGCGGGAGGTGGAGGTGTGGGTGTGTGTGCAGGGCCCCTAGGGCATGGGGCATGGTCAGCATCATTCACCTCTTCCTGTTCAACTACCTGGACTGCCTAGAACGTCACAAGTGAGCCGACACTCAGCCTCAGTGACCGGGTTCCCTGGGCTCCAGCCAAGCTCACACCCTCCCAGGCCTCTGGGGTGGCGAGCTCCTTCTCACTCCCGACCTTTCTCATGCTGTTGAGACCCTCCCTGCCTATCCCCAGCCCTACGCTCCCTCCCATTCTTCACTTAACCCCTGAAACTCTTGCCTTGTAAAAAATACCAGTGCCGGTGTGGTCCGCCCCCCCCCCGACACTGGCAAGGGGAAGGCTGGGGCCTCGTGCTCTGTGCCTCCCCACTGGGCCTGGCAGAGTGCTGGGCATGCAGCCGGGCTCTGTGAATGTCCGAGCAATGCTATACCTGGCCTGGCTCTGAGGCTCCCTGGCTGGGGCCTGATGGAAGGCTTGGGGGGCAGAGGAGGCTGCCCCCTGGGGGGACCCCGGCCACCTCTTCGCCCTCGAGTCTCAGGAAGCTTGGTCAGGAACTTCTTCTCCACGTATTTGGCATGAATCCAGGCCTCCTTCTCCTGCCTGGCAGAGTATGGCAGGGAAGAGGGGGACCGTCTTCCCTCCTCCGGTCCCAGACCCTCTTCCTTCCCCACAAGTAGGCAGCCTCCGCACCTCTACCCCAACCTCACCGGGAGCAGCTGGGCCCTGGCTTCTTCACGGCCATGGCCTCCACGCGGGCCTCATAGATCTGGTTGATGACGACATTCCCCAGCTCACACATAAGCTTCGGGCGGCCCAGGCAGGGACAGACAGGTGGGAGGGAAGTGAGGGTCTGAGCCCTCGGGGCCCTGCAGCTCTGGACTCACCCCCCTTCCCCCGCTTCTCATCGCGGCACCCCAAGTCACCTTCACCAGTTCTGGCTCCCACGAGTCAAGGGTCAGAGACCGGACTTTGGAGAAGTGAACCCCGAGGCTCCTGGCGGGCCAGAATGGGAGTCAGGCCCTCCGTGAGGCAGCAGATGGGTGAGCGTGGTGGCCATGGGCCGCGAGGCCTGGCTCTGCTCACCATTCCCTCGTCCCCTTCTCCTACAGTTCAGCTTTCGGGCCTCATCCTCTCCAGCCACCTCCCTTCTCTGGCCCTGCCGTTTCCCTCGGGGTGGAGGGCCTCCCCCCTTCTCTGCTCTTCGTGGGCTCCCCTGCCCTCAAGAGCCCAGACCCCACACCTCCAGTCAAGCCCAGACTCCTCCGGCTGGACCAGGACATGGTGCCCAGTGCCAGCCAGGGCAGGGTGGGAGGGAGGAGCCTGTGCGATGGGCTCAAGCCGGCCCCTCCGCCTCCCCCCGCGGGAAGGAGCGGGGCCCCGGAGCGGGGCCCCTGCGCAAGTGGCGGGCGGCGGGGAGTGACCTGTGGATGCCGGAGCACTGGATGCAGAGGGTGACACCCAGGTTGATGCTGGCCCACTCCGGGGCTGGCTCCCGGCAGTCACAGCACTGCGCATTGCCGTCCACGCCCTGCACCTGGGCTACCACGTGCCCAGCTCCGCCAGGCTCCCTGCCCCGGGCCATCCCGCCACAGCCCAGGGTAGCCGAGGAGCTCGTGGCCGGGTATCCCGAGCCCTGGGGGCAACAGAGGAAGACAGAGAGTGGCCATGAGGCCTGGGGAAGGGTGCCTCCCCTCCCTGGGCCGCCTGGCCCTGCACCCTCCTCGAGCAGGCACCTGGCCGGGCCCCCGGGGGCTGTCATCGAGGCGAGCCTGGCTGAAGGCCGTGGCGATGCTGCTCTGTACGGCGCTGACCCACAGCTGGAGGAGGCGCTCGGAGTCAGCCTGCAGGAGGCAGGACCTGGGCGGGAGCAGGGAGCAGGGCTGGGGTGGGGGGGTCTGAGGCCTGGAGAGCCATGGGGCAGGGTAGGCGGGCTGACATGCTGTTCAACTGGTACCAGTTGTCCTGACATACGAAACGCCAGTTGAAGAGAGATTTGGCAACAACTGGTCCGATCTTTCTAATATCCCCCATCGCCCTCTCCCCTCCCTCCAGGACACCCCGTAATACTGCCCCCTCCCCCAATCCAGCCACAGAAGGGATAATGCCTGGTGCTACATGGGGGCGTCCAAGATGCCTTTGTGATCGGCCCTGCCTTCCCGTTGGTAAAGATTCAGACACGTCGTCGGATGTCTGCACTCACTTGCTGGGGGACACGACCTCAAAGCAAAACCGCCTCTCTAAGTCCGGGCAGAGCTTCACTGTGCAGAGGCGAAGGTCATCCACCACCACGGTCACGGGATCCTGGAAAGGGAAGGTGGCGAGGGGCAGCCATCCACCCGCTTGCAGCAAGGGCTGAGTGTCCCTGAGCCCCGGCATCTGGGACCCGGCCTGCCTACCTTGTACTTCTTCTGATACACCAGTTGGTTGCTCTGAATAGTGAACCAGCGTCTGGAGGAGGCAGAAACAGAGGTGTGGACATGGGTGGCATCGGGACAGGCTTGGGACAGGGGAGAGCGGAGAGGCTGTGCCCCCTGCCCCGTAAGGATGGTGCTGAGAGAGCCGGGCTGACCCTCCCATCCTGTCCGGAGGGCACAGGGTTGTGTGGGGCCAGGACATGGAAGGCGGGGCTACTCACACCTTGGACAACCCAGATTGGATCCTTTGTGAAGACAACTTTCCAGCAGATGGCAGTAAAATGCTTTTTCCAAGAAAATTAGTCTCCTGCTATAATTTTTTTAAGTTTTGTTTTGTTTTTTCCTAAAGTAATCGCTACACCCACGTGGGGCTCAAACCCACAACCCGGAGATCAAGAGTCCCAGGTTCCACCGACGGGGCCAGCCAGACGCCCCGAGTCTCTTGCCACAATTTTTTTGACAGATGGAAGTATCTTACGGAAGGGGCTCAGTTTTCCGATTTGTGCAAATATCCCGTATGGGAAGGAGCAGAGTCAGAGCAGATGACTCCCCTGCTCCACCCCTGCAATGGCTCCTAAGTCCCTACGGAAGCCTGGAAGCCGACAAGGCCCTCTCGTGCGTGGGGCACAGCCCCATTGGCTCCAACTTCATCTCCCCCTGCGTCCTCCTCCCTCCCTCTGTCCACACCCATGTGCCCCTCTCTGTCCCTCTGACCCTCCGGGCTTTGGCGCTGGCTCTTCCTCCTGCCTAGAACATTCTCTCCCCAGATGTCCTTCAAGTCTTCACTCAAAAGGCATCACCTTCTCATGAAGCCTGCCCCGATCACCCTATCTAGAACTGCAGCTCCTCCTCAGCTCTCTGCACCCCTGCTTTCTCTTGTTTCTCCTGCATCACTCTCCCCTTCCAACATAACAGAATTTACTGGGCGTCTTTGCTGATGGGATGTAAGTTCTCTGGAGGCAGCGGATTTTGTCTATTTTTCTCACTGCTTAGCACACTGTCACCGCTCAAAACACATTGACCCGAGCGGGTTTGGGCGATTGGGGTCCCCTCCCCTCACCTGCTCCAGGTCTTAAATGCGTTGCTGGCCCGCTTGAAGAGATGGCCTTCCATGACCAGCCCACCAGGCCCCTCCTTCAGGCTTGGCTCTGGCTCTTCCCCACCGAGCTCCTGGGGGCACAAGAGGGTCAAAAGACAGCTGAAGCGGGCAGAGGCCAAGGCGCCAGGCCCCTCGGCATCCTGAGGCCCTCCCTCACCTTCTGCTTCAGCAGCACGTGTCTCTGCTCCATGTCCCTCCTCTCGCGCGCCGAATTCAGGACCAGCTGGTGCAACTGGGTATCGGAGGGGGCATTTCAAATGTCCCCCAGCCTCCCCCAACCAGGCCAGGTAAGACATCCCAGAGCCCCCTCCCCTCCCTCCACCACCAGCCTGTCCCCCCACCCCCGCCACCGGGGCCCCACCTGGGCGCCCAGCTCCCTGCGATACTGGGCCAGCCTGCCCAGCTCCTCGTGGCCCTGCTGGAAATGGGTAGCCTGGGCCTCCACCAGACGCAACACCTGGGCAACAAGTGGGCAGGGGGCAGAGCTGACAGGGGACCCTTCTGTCTTTCCCTCTTCCCTCCTGCCCCCCATCAGCAGGCTCCTCTCCACCCCGCCTTCACCACCACTGCAACTCACAAACTCCATGATGTCGAACTTCCTCTTGTCCTCAATCACGTTGATCTGAGGGCCCCCAAAAGACCTCAGGTCAGTCTTGAAAACACAGCGCCCCCTCCCACTGCACACAGGGGCCTCTCCAGCCTCCAGGAGCCAGAGGCCCTGGGATTGGTGGGGGGGAACAGGTCGGGGTGGGCACCTGCAGTGCATAATCCAGGGCTCGCCCCTGGTACCCGGCCCGCGCAGTCTTCAAGGCAGCTCCAGCCTCTTCGGCCTCCTGCGCCCGGCGCCTGGGGACCTCCGCGTTGTGGATGAGAGCAGCCTCCAGGCTCTCGGCCCCCCTCCAGAAATCCCGGCGAGCTTCTCGGAAACCCCGGAGACCCCTGTGGTGGAGGCGTAATGCAGAACCGGATACCCCCACCTGCCCCCTGCAGAGAAGTCCCAGGAGGAGGCCCACGCATGGCCTTCCAGTCGGGACTCCAAGGGCATGCGGGGATGGGGGGCAGCAGTCAGGCCACCAGAAACCCCCAACACCTCACAGCTCCTCCGTTCCGGGGGGGCCCCCATAGGGGATGGGAAGAGGGACAGAGGACTGGTTCCCCTCCCAACTCACTCCTTGACCAGGGTTTGGATTTGCTGTTGCAGCATGTGTTGGGTGGCATCTAGAAGCTCCTGGGGGGGGGCGGGGGGAGCAGAAATGGGCAGGTGAAGGTCAGGCCACAGACAGCCCTGCTCCCCATCACCAGTCCCGCCTGCTCCCCCTTACCGCGTGGCTGTCCAGCTTGTGGTTGAGGCTCTCGGTGAATTTGTCCAGACACTCCTGGGCACGGAGAGGCAGAGAGAGAGTACCAGGCGTGGGCCAGCCGGGCCCGCCGCCCCTGCACCCAGCCTGCCAGGCCTGTCTCAGGCCACAGCCCCAGGCCTGCTCCCACCTGGAGACCCCAGGCCGACCCTCCCCTTCCAGAGGATCCCTGCCTTCCAGAGCCCAGCCCACTCTACATACCGCCATCATGGGCTCTGGTGGACCCAGGCGGGCCAGGTCACAAATGCCAGCAACAAAGGTGCGGCCAGCAGCCAGGTAATGGCGCCCGCTTTCCAGGAGGCCGTTCCCCAGCTTGAGGAGCTAAGAAGCAACGGGGCAATGGGCAGTTATGCTGTGAAACACGTACGTGCCAGCAGCCCCACGCTGGTCCCCCGCTCTCCCTTCCGCAGGGCTCTGCCCCTCCTTCCCAGCCTCGCCTTCCCTTCTCTGCAGCCCAGCTGGGCGCGCCCGGTTTCTAACACACACCTGCTGCTTTCTCATCTCTGCGTCTTTGCTCCCACTGCTCTGTGCCCGGCAGAAAATCCCTCCCGACCTCTCTCCAAAGCCCGGGTCAGCTTCCCCTCCCAAACGCCCCAACTGCCTGGATCCAGCGCTCCCCGGACACCCCAACCTCGTGCAGTCTGGCTCTCAGCACAAATGCACCACCCGGCTCGTGGTAGGTTAGACAGTGCTTCCCTGTCTGGAGTCGTCCCAAGCATCCCCCTCACAAAGATCACTTAGCCATCTGGCCACAGGGCCAGGGCAAAGATGGCACATTAGGGTGCTCTGGGGGCCCATTCCGTCTGGCCCGAGGAGGGTCCCTCTGGAAGAGCCAGGAACCGAAATGAGGTCTCCTGACCTCGGGCCCTAGTTTGGGAACCGCTGCCCCTGAGGCGACACCACTTGGCTCTGGCCTGGGTCAACACCGGGAAGTTGTATGGGGAAATCCTGGGGTAGCAGGGGCCCAGAAAGCTGGGGCTGTGTGTCGTCAGTGAACTTCTGTCGAACTGAAAGACACTTTCGAGAGCTGGTGAAGGCCGCAGGACACTAGAGCTGGACTAGAAGGTGGCCGACAGGGTCAGTAATGGTCAGGAAACTGGCCACGATCCAGCCTCATCAGATGTCCCCACGAGCTGTCTGTGATCAGGCACAAGGACCCAGACGCTCACAACTTCACTGGGTGCAGCTGGGGCCCTGAGTGTCTGGTTTTTTTCCCTACCCACCACCCTTTCCCCATATGTGAGCTTTCTTAAGACGGAACTAGGGATAGGGGCGCCCAGGTGGCTTAGTCGTTAAGCGTCTGCCTTCGGCTCAGGTCATGATCCCGGGGTCCTGGGATCGAGTCCCGCATTGGGCTCCCTGCTCAGGAGGAAACCTGCTTCTCCCTCTCCCACTCCCCCTGCTTCTCCCTCTCCCACTCCCCCTGCTTGTGTTCCCTCTCTCGCTGTCTCTCCCTCTGTCAAATAAATAAATAAAATCTTAAAAAAAAAAAAAAAGACGGAACTAGGGATAAACTGGTCCATCCATGCAACGGAATAGCACTCAGCAACGCAAGGGAACGGACTATCCACGTAGGAATTGCTCATACGGATACGTAACAACCTGAACAGATGTCAAGGGCATATTCTGAGAGAAGGAAAAGAAAGAGCCAATCTTGAGAGCTCACATACTGTATGGTTTCACTTATATAACATTCTAGAAACGACAAAAGTCTGGAGAAGAACAGATGAGTGCTTGCCACGGGTTAGAGAAGTCAGGGGAGGGTATCAGGATAAAGCGTCGCACAGAAGAGTTACTTGGGGTGATAGAGGAGTTTTGTGCCTTTTTTTTCTTTTTCTTTCTTTTTTTTTTTTTTGAGAGAATGCGTGCATGAGTGGTGGAGGGGCAGAGGGAGAGGGAGAGAGAGAATCCCAAGCAGACTCCACACTCAGCGTAGAGGTAGACGCAGGGCTCGATCGCACAACCCTGAGATCATGACCTGAGCCAAAATCAAGAGTTGGACACTTAGTTGATTGAGCCACCCAGGCACCCCAGGATTTTTGTGTTTTGAATGTGATGCTGGTTACAAAAAGCTATGCATGTGATTAAGTGCCATTGAATTATATACAAAGACTTTTTGAAAAAAAGAGTACAGTCGACCTTGAACATGGGTTTGAACTGCGCTGGTCTGCTTCTTGGCGGACATTTTTTCGATAAATACAGTACAGTACTGTACTGTATATAAATGTATTTTTTTCCTTACGATTGTTTTCAAAATTTTATTATTTTTTTAAGTAAGCTCTACATCCAACATGTGGCTTTTTTTTTTTTTTAAGATTTTATTTATTTGAGAGAGAGAGAGAGAGAACACAAGTGGGGGTGGGGAGGAGGAGCAGAAGGAGAAGCAGACTCCCCTCTGAGCAGGGAGCCCACCATGGGGCTTGATCCTGGGACCCTGACATCATGACCTGAGCTGAAGGCAGACGCTTCACTGACTGAGCCACCCAGGCGCCCCTCCCAACACATGGCTTGAATTCACGACCGGGAGGCAAGAGTTGCGTGTTCTACTGAGGGCTCGATCCCAGGACCCTGACATCATGACCTGAGCTGAAGGCAGACGCTTCACTGACTGAGCCACCCAGGCGCCCCTCCCAACACATGGCTTGAATTCACGACCGGGAGGCAAGAGTTGCGTGTTCTACTGACTGACCCAGCCCGGTGTCCCTCTTACGATTTTCTTTCTTGTACGAACAGTATATAATATATATACCACACGAAATATGTGTTCATCGGCTGTTTAGGTTATTGGTCAATGGTGGGCTATCAGTAAAGTTTCGGGGGAGTCAGGAATTACATGTAAATTTTCAACAGCATGGAGGGTCAGTGCCACTAACCCTCACGTTGTTTAAAGTTCAACTGTATATGCAAAACAAATAAAATCTAAGTAAGTTCTGCACACGGTTCGTTGCATTGTGCCAACATCAATTTCCTGGTTTTGGTAATGTACTAGCATTATATAAGAGGCCACCGCTGGGGGAAGCTGGGTGATGGGTGTGTGGGACCTCCCTGCACCATCTTTGCAACTTCTCACAAGTCTGTAATTAACTCAAAATAAAAAGGCTTAGGGGTGCCTGGGTGGCTCAGTCACTTAAATGTCCAATTCTTGATTTCGGCTTAGGTCATGATCTCAGGGTTGAGGGATCGAGTCCCATGTTGTGGGGGGCAGAGAGGAGAGGGACCATGCTCAGCGGGGAGCCTGCTTGAGATTCTCTGTCCCTCTCCCCTGCTTGTACGTGCTCTCTCTCTTTGTAAAATAAGTAAATCTTTAGAAAGAAATTTGGGGCGCCTGGGTGGCTCAGTCGTTAAGCGTCTGCCTTCGGCTCAGGTCATGGTCCCAGGGTCCTGGGATCGAGCCCCGCATTGGGCTCTCTGCT